AGAGCTGCTCCAACATGCAGCCACCTGGAGCGGAGCAGTTCTAGAACGGACTAATTTTTAATGACGGATCTGGTCTTCCTTGAAGGAATGAAGACCAGCCGCCTCCGTTCCTGCCTGAGTTTGAACTAAACTCCTGGAGAAACCAAACCCAGATGAAATTAGATTCTGTTCCTGAACCTGTTGGAGGACCTTGAAGGCAACACTCTGGATTTAGACCCTCAGCAGTAACTAGAACTAAGGTGTCGTTAATGCTCAGTAGGTATTATCGGTTCTGGAGAGACCGTAGATCGACCCTAGGAATGCACGGTATTGGATCTTTGGCCGATAGCTGATAACCGATACCAATACCGATATATATTTTTCCCTAGACCTACTTACAGAGACTACACAGCTTTCTCTGCTGTGGAATTAAAATACAACATTGTTCTTCACGGTCTTTGTCAGTTTGGCCTGCTGCTAAATGCAGATGCCAAAACTTCCACTTGGATTATGTTTAGTGTCAAATTTATTCATGACATTTACTCTCACTAACACAAGGACAACACTCGAACTGTGCAAGTTTGTGAATCTTCACAAATCCAAACTCAACCTGTTCACAAGTGAAAAGTGCATTAATAAATATATTTGACAGTTTCTTAAATTAAAAATTAACTTAAAACAGAAGCGCTTTATATTGGTGAGTTTTTTTGATGGAATGGACGATGTCCGATATTTAACTTTATCGCTAATATCGGCCGACACCATGCCGATAATATCATGCATCTCTAATCGACCCGGTTGGTCAACAGAGGCGTCAGTCACTGGGGAGGACATCGTAGCAGAATCTGTGTCCAGATCTGGTTTGGGGGTTTGTTTGTTTTCAGTGTTTCGTATCTTCAGGTTAGGTTAATGTTTGTATTGATTATGGTTTGCTTGTGTTCCTTTGTGTTCCTCGGCGCTGTGAGCAACTCTTTCCTCAGTTTCTCTCCATTTCTCTGCTCCTGCCCTGGAGCAGGTGTCTCCACTTCCTCATCGGCCCGGTCTATTGGTTCTGTCTGGTTCTGTTTCCTCACCAGAGGAGCATCGTTGGTTTCCACGCCGCAGTCCGGGTGTTCTTCTCGCACCTCCTTGTGATGATCTTTGTTTTGTGAGTTGTTTAAAGTTTTTATTTATTGAAGCTCCTCGTGTCCGTCTGCGTCCTTTAGTCCAAACCTACAAACCGTGACACTTTGAGGCTCCGTGCTCAAACTGAACTCATGTTGAGATGTTCATGTGTGGTCTCACACAGTACGACGTGTTAGAGCTCAGCACGTGTGTTGGGGATGACTCTCAGCTACTACTACCTCCAACTGTAGCCAAGTCTCAGTAAAACTGGCTGATTCACGTGTTCAAACCAGCCCAGAGGGAGTTTAAGGTTTGGCGTGTGTTGGTACCTCTCAGCCAGACTCTGCTGCTGGTTGATGCCGATGTTGAACAGAACGGGCTCCACTCGGATCCGACCGCCATCTTTCAGTTCCTGCGGCAGCGAGCTGAAGGACTCTGGAGGTACCGGCACTTCGACAACAAAACCGCTCCTGGATGGAGGAGGACACGCTCAGCGCTGAGGTTCTCGGTGTTTGACGTGTGTGTAGACGGGTTCTCACCACGTTCCACGGAGCGTCAGCTGCAGGTCGCCGGGTTGCTCCGACCGGGCCTCAGTGATGGTGAACGCCACTCTGCTCAGGTCGGCCACGCCCACCTCCATGTCCTGCAGCATCCCCACCTCCTCACCTGAGACACACCGAACGTTCAGACCAGAGACCGACTGGACACACCCCGAGAGTCCAAAGACCCTCAAACTGAAACCAAGGTGGAGTAAATGCCTTCAGTTTCTGTACCGTAGGTGCTGAGCAGACCTTCAAACTGGACCAGGACCCCAACAGAGTGGAGCTGCTGCAGGAACTCTGGGTCCTCCAGACCTCCATGAAGTTTCAGCACGAAGCCACAAACGATCGCAGACAGCTGGGGGACAACCGGAGAGCCGAGTTAGGAGACAGAAATGTTCAAAGAACTCATCGTCCGCATATGAAAACTTTGATTCTTCTGTTTTCTCAGTATAAACTGTTCCTCTCCGGTCCTCACGCAAACAAAAAATAATTTTTAGATCTTTTTTAGGATTTCTCACGGCCTGGCTGAAAACGGCGTGGCGTCTCCGTACGATCGGCGTCGGCCCCTGAGCGACGGTCGCAGCCAGCGCCCCCTGCAGGACCACGAAGGTCATGGCGGCTCGGGCCTTCGACGCCGCCTCGCGCACGCAGTCCCTGAGGGTGACCACCAGGGGGAGCAGCTGCTCCTGCCGGGAGGAGGCGGAGGAGGAGGAGGGAGCAGCAGCTGGAGAGGAAGGCTCAGCCAGTTCATCTGCAGGATTTCAGTCAGAAAACAAACGAGTTCAGAAGAAAAAGACAAATATTCAGTCGCACGGAGAAAAGAAAGTCCACCGTGTTTTAACGGGAACGATGACTCGGCATCAAGAACCATGAGTCATCATATTAACAACCAGGTGGATCTCACTGAGATTAAAAATCTCTTTGATTAACAGAGTCCTGACCAAGAATGGCAGCAGACCACAAACATTACTGACCATAAAACCACAGATATCGAAACACAACTACATCATGGTAAAATAAAATAAAATAAAATAAAAAATGGGACTAAAATAGAATTTGATATCAGTTAAAAATAGAGCCCAACCAAAATGGAAATTTTAGCTATAGCCGATACCGATGTTAGGAGAGGACGTCAACGGCCGATAATCGATATAATGGCTGAAAAGTTTTGAGCGTTGTCCACCTCCAAGAATCAGCGAGTGCAGCGGGGCTTGTTTATTTAGCACAGCTGTTAGCATCCATGAAGCTAAGCTCATGCTATAACTAGAGCCACAGCAGGTTTACAAGTGGAGCACTGGTCATAAAAACAGTCTTCCTAACATGTGTTCACATTTTCTCTCCTCCACTATTCACCATAAAGTTACCAAGTGTGTTACAAAAAAATAAACTAAACAAACAAACACCTTCCTGTTTGTTGTTTGAACAGTCACGTATGATGAAGGTCTGATTAGCATTGACCGCAGCAGAGTTTATGTTTCTTTGCAGAGAAGTAAAGATTTCAGAAAAACATTTCATTGAGGACGACGAAGATAACGTTACTAACACAGATATATTTTACCTCTACGTTAAATTTATTGTTCAACTTCTGGATAAAGTTTTACAAGGCTATAGCCTATGCTAGTTTATCTAAATGTTAGCTTGCTAACTTGAGAGCACGTAGCTAATGACAAGCAGGTTGGAGGATTGAAGAGAATTTATTATTGTTGATTTATTTTATTTTACAGATCAGTTAAAATAACCTTACCATGCCCTGTTCAGCAAAATACGCTACACAGTGTTGCTCGCTGCTTCGGCTGCGCTGAAAGTGAAACTTAAAGTGAACGGCCATGACTTGAAAATAGTCCACATGCGTCCTCTGCTGGATACATTGTACAATTACACCATCTGAAAGTAAGGACACGGCTTGTCCCCAGTGTTTGTATCGGCACATAAAGATACAATTATCTGTGAAACCAACATGTCCACAAACGTCTAGATCGACTATAAATATCAGCCCTACTGATATATCGGCCAGGCTCTAGTTAAAACATTTACAAACGGATTAAGAACGGCCTTAAATCATTAAAAGACACAAAGTCCTTCAACTTCAAGACTTTCTGTGGTTGACTCCAGTCTGAGCGAACTGGAAGTTTTAGCCGTGATCAGTTTGAACTTTAGCTACGGTTAATAAAATGAACTCATCTGAGCGCAAAAGACAGATTTCCTGACAGAAAAGAACAGGAAGTAAACAGGAAGTAAACCCAAGACAGCTCTGTAAAATTTGACCAATGAATAATGAATAAAAGATGAAACTATTATCTAGCATTTTAAAACTTTTAGACTTAAGATAACCTAATTGTGTTCACCAACTTTTGGATTTTAGCAAGCCTTTTGCTACTTTTACGTTTAGCTAACTAGAGTTTTGCTACATATAGCTAGTGTTTTGGTACTTTTAGCCTTTAGCCAACATTTTGCTAGCATTTTGCAACTTTTAGTTTTTAGCCAGACCTTTGCCACTTTTAGCATTTAACCTTTTGCTGCTTTTAACTCGTATTTAACTATTTTTAGCTCTACTTGGTACTTTACATTTTGAAACAGCCTTTGATATTTTACCTTTTAGCTACCCTTTTGCTACTTTTAGCCTTTAGCCAACATTTTGCTAGCATTTTGCTTTAATTATGACACTGCAGTGAAATCTGTTGTTCGTGTTCACTTAAGGTTGAAGGAGAGTGCTCTTGTCTTTAAACGAGTCGAGATATTTCCCTGTGAAGGAACCAAAGAACTGGGTTCAGATGGTTCAGAACCGTTTAATTTATCCCACCGGTGTTCTGAGATTTTGTGTCCGCCGTGAGTTCCTGCGGCTCAGGTGATGTCTGCTCCTGCAGGTGGCGCTCTCGCTCCTGCAGCCGGTCCACCATGATCAAGATGCAGTTGAGACTCTTGGCGACGTTCGCCCACGCTCTGTCCTACACACACACACACACGTTTGTTTTGCTATCTTTATGGGGCCTTTGCATTGACTTCCATTCATTTTTCATTCATTTCTATAACCTAACCATTACCAGTACATACCTAACCCTAAACCTAACACATCCTCAATTCACACCTTAGTCCTAAACCTAGCCCCTAACCCACCAACGGGACTTCTTCTTATGGGGCCCGGGCTTTGGGCCCCATAAGGAGCAGTTGGTCCTCACAATGCAGCATAAGTTGGAAAAATGGGTCTCACAAAGTAGCATAAACAAGGACACACACACACACACACACACATAAAATCCGTAACAGTGTAAAACAGCCCAGTGAAGCTGAGGTCACACACTCCAAACTTACCCACTCCTCCTCGTCGTACTCCGGCCGTCGCCAGCCGATGTCCTCCTGGTCGGTCGGTGAGTCCTCACAGACCAAACCATTGCTGTGAACATGGCTGCCAGTATCAACGGCGTAGCGGTTGTGGATGGCCAGCAGGGCACTTTTAACTAGCTCGTCCTTCAGAGCATGAATGAACCGTCTGGTCTGGGATGAAACGGGTCATTTGTGCGACTAATTAACTCGTTAGCTGTGATTTTACGTCCCAGTCTCACCTCCTGCATCAGACTGTTCAGAACCTCTTGCAGTCGGGCGACGTCCGGCTCCATGGAGGCGGCGAGCAGCTCCTCGGCGAGGCCGAAGATCAGAGGCTGCAGCTGAGCGACGCTGGCCATCAGCTCCTTTGCTCTGCAGCGCTCGTCCTGAGAATATGAGACTGAGCTGCAGAGAGATTAAAGGCGAGTCAAAAACAGACAATAATCTAATTCATGAAGGAAAAACTAAATCCACGTCTATTTTTTTCCATGTGGAAGGTTAATGTGTCCCTGAACTGAAGATGTGTGAGCAAAGCTTGTGACCCAACTGCCACGTGTGTTTGAGAATCCAGAAAAACATCCAAAATGGATGAAATTAGGTCCTCAGTGATGATTTCCATGGAAGAAATGTTTGGGACAGAGACTTTGATGTAATTTGATGTACTGGTATGAATTTATACTTAAAATTATTGAGTAAAGTATGTAGATAAAAGTGCCATGTTTACATTGATACAGTACTAGATAATCTTTGATACATTACTAGATAACCTTTGATACAGTACTAGATAACCTT